CACATATACCTACAAAATATGTGTCACAAGGAATGTCTATGCCTACAGATGTACTGAAAAGGGCTGGACAGGCCTCCCTAAGTTGATTTTGCAACCCCTAGACAACTACTGTTTGACTTGAAAATTCTGCGGTCTGGAATGAGGGGGCAACATGAGGGGCACGTGTAGGGATTATGGAAGTCCAAAACCAGGGCAAGGGAAGGGGAAGATATCTTGGGGCTAAGATGCTGGCATCCTATAGAGGAGGACAGGAGGGAGATAATCTGATTTTTTAAAGTAAGCAATTAATTAAAAAAAAAAAAAATTACTCCAGGTATTCCACTCCTGGGCACGTTCCCTACACAGACATAGCCTGGATGTCAGGTTACATTTATAAGAACATTTTTAGCATCCTCATTCATAAAAGCCCCAAACTGGAAAGCACACAAGTGCCTGGGAATAAATTATGGAAAACTATACGCACTGAAAATGAGCAAACTACACGCCATAACAAGGATAAATCTTTCAAGCTGCTGAATGAAGAAATCCAAACAAAAGAGAATATATAAAGTATCTGTCAAGTTCATCAAGAGGCAAACCTAAAAGCAGTGATAAAACCAAAATGCGATTGCCTTCAGTTGGCAGGGTAACATCTCTAGGGCGGAGAGTATGATGTTGTGTTTAAGACAGGGAGTGTGGTAGGCAAGCAAGCTCCGAATGCTGAAAGGATCTAAATTTCTATCCAGGTTATACTTACACATAGGGATCCACTTAAGTATTACTCATTTAGCTGTACTATGATTTATGTATTTCTTATACACATGTTAACATGTCTCAGACACAAATAAATCTTAAAAACAAAAAAAATCGAAGGAACCAAAGTCTGTGACCCTGTCCCAGATCTTGGATCTTGAACACAGCTGTGATGAGGGGCACGGATACTGCAAGGTAGGACATCCAGACCAAGAGAGGCCTGGGATGTATAGATCCCCTAGATAAGTAGGCAACAGGTAAGCACCTTGAAATGTGAACTAGGAAAAGGTTCTGCATCCCTTCCCAACCCCGCGCCCCGCTTACCCAGGTAGTTCTGCCAGCAGTTCCTGGTCTGGTTCTGGTTGGGGAAGCGGCTGTCAAAAGGGGCAGTCTGGTAGTTCTTGATTTTGGTCTTGATGTCTTCTGCCATGGTGCTGACTCTTGGAGGCAAAGAGAATGGATGCTGGCAAACATTCTAGGGGACCCGGGCATGGGGATGTCAGCCCACCCAGACACAGGAGAATGGAGTAGGTAGATGTGAGCAAGCTACATCTTTCTCCCTCTCAACATATACACACAGAGGTGAAGTGTGGGGGCAAATCCACACTTCTAAGTGTGGCATTTACAGCAGGTTTTGGTGGAAGGGGTAAGTACCTACTTAGCAAAATCAGGCCTTATTCATCCCAAAATAACACCAGCTAACATTCACTGAAGGCTTAGTCTGGGCCAAGCACTGGTCTACACTTTACTCCTGCAGGCACTCGAAAAGGTAGGAACTATTGCTATCACTGTTTCACAGACAAGGGAGAGGGTGTCTAAGTGACTTCCCAAGGTCATACAAGTGAAGGAGGGGCAGGAATCATTGACAGAACCTACACCGCAGAGGTTCTTCATCTCTGTGGTGCCATCAACTCCTCAGGGGTCTAATGAGCCTCCCTCAGAATATTTTCAAATGCATTAAAAAAATTGCAGAGGATCACAAAGAACACCAGTTGTATGTAGCTGAGGATTTACTGACTACCACAATTCTGAAATACGGTAAGTGGAAATTATTCTGTGACATCTGCAACCATAATGCGATATAAGACGACCTATGATTTTTTAAAAAGATTGTATTTATTTATTTGACAGAGATCACAAGTAGGCAGAGAGGCAGGTTGCAGGGGGGGGGAGCAGGCTCCCTGCTGAGCAGAGAGCCTGATATGGGGCTGGATCCCAGGATCATGACCTGAGCTGAAGGCAGAGGCTTTAACCCACTGAGCCACCCGGGCGCCCCTGACCTGTGATTTTTGATTGCTGACAAAGTCACAGATGATTCTAATATTACTAAGGTTGTTGCCTCCATTTCTACCTGAAGGAAATGCTACATTTCAATTACAGATTAAGAAAAATCTAATTTTTCCCCCATTCAAGTCCTAGCACACCTTGCATTCTATTGATTTTGCAGACCCAGAGTTAAAAACCTCTGTTATAAAGTCTTTTAGGAGGTGACACGCAGCAGTTTTCGCCAGGGAATGTGAAACTGCCTCTATCCCAGAGGACTCGAGGAGTAATGGGGTTACAAAGAAGTGAGCAGGCCAGTGTTAAATTTAAGAGATCCAACATAGTGGCGGAGATATGGGGCACCACAGCGGAGTCTGTGGTGTGGAGTCTGTAGAGGGGCGTGGGGAGGGGGACCCAAAAGATTTGTTCGGAGTTGTTTAGGGGGAAGGGGGCTGGGAGGAAGGGTGGTTCAGGGAGACTCTGAGGCCCCTCCAACGCCCAAGCGGGAAGGAGGACCAGAAACCAGGGAGCCAGGCTGCGGCCCGGGAAAGCCACGGGAGGCCAAGCCTGCGGCCTGGTGACTGAGGGCACTACAGTCCGAACTACAGAACACAAACCCTGAACACTCGCTAAGTAGCTTAATACCGCGGAGCTTCAGTTGCTCCTCTGTCAAAAACGGACCGTTGCAGGCCCTACCTCATAGGGCTGGAGGGAAGACGAAATGAATTAATAAAGTCACTTGAACTGTTACCTGGCATTAAGGAAGAGCTTCATAATCGTTAGCTAGAAGACTACTAACAGGACAGAACCCCAGGGACCGGGAAGGCCGGACGCCGCGGGCCAGAAACTTACTTCATTCTCGGGGAAACTACGGTCCGGTTCCTCAGTTCCCCGAGATAGGGTCCCAGCTTCCCAAGCCCTCGACACTTACCTAAACACACCACAGCAGAACCTCGCAGCTCAATGTGACCCTCAGCAAAGACGCCAGAGTCGGACCGGAAGCGGAATTAAGACCGGCCGGAAGCGGGGTGAGGCGGCGTAAACCCGAGTCTTCCGCGTGGGTAGAGCGCCCTCGGAGGCCATCCGCAAAGCCATTAAGGCCACGCCCATCCGGGCGAATTCTGAGCTCCTATTGGGCTGAATGCCTGTTCATTATCACTCTCGGCCCAATCGTGAACTTGCGCGGCACTTCGAAGGTCTCGGGTGGGGCTTGAGACCCTTGGTTACCGATTCTCATCACTTTAGGGTTTTTACGTCGGGGAAGGAGTTCTGGTTTTTGAGGCTAAATGCAGAGTGGGCCTGGGGAAAATATCCCAGCAGAAGTATCCTTATTCATGCAAGAATTACTTATTATTGAACGCTTACCATGTGCCACGTACTTCTGTAATTCCTGGGGAAGCATCACTGAATAAAATACAAGAATCCTTACACTCTTTATGCTTATTAGGGGATCAGTTGTTAGGGGTTTGAAATCGAACCAGTTGTTCTCCCACGGTCATTTGCCGCATTATGATGAATACCCAGATTCCACCTCCCTGTTCATTATCTTCTTTTCCCAAGCCTCAGAAGGCACAAATTAACCCAGATTTGGGTTCCTGAGGACTCAAACCAAAGACCTGCATCACAGAGAGGAGAGGTTAAGAATAAAAGTTTGGGTCTGGCAGAAATTTGTCCATCTCAGAAAGTGACACATCTATGCTTCCGGTCACAGAGTTGGCTCTCTCATACCCCACAGCTGATCTATCAAAAAACCATGTTGGCTCTGTCTTAGCAATATATCCAGAATTTTCTCCGACCTCTGGTTCAACCCACAGGCACCTCTAGCCTGGGCTATTGCAGTAGAGCACTCCCTAGCCTCCTGGTTTCCCTACTGCTCTCCACAATCGTCCACTCAGCCAGAGGGACCCTGTTAACACCTCAGTGAGATCACTTCCCTTTGGCCTAGAACCCTCTCCCTGGGTCTTGTCTGACTCAGTAAAAAGCCAAAGTCCTTACAAATGACCTGCACAGTTTGGGTGCGCACTCTCTCTCTCTTTTTAGATTTTATTTATTTATTTGACAGAGAGGGAGAGATCACAAGTAGGCAGAGCAGCAGGCAGAGAGAGGGAAAAGCAGGCTCCCCACTGAGCAGAGAGCCCAATGTGGGGCTCAATCCCAGGACCCTGAGATCAAGACCTGAGTCCAAGGCAGGGGTCCAACCCACTGAACCACCCAGGTGCCCCAGTTTGGTCTCTCTTAAACCTTCATTTCCTATCCTTCTTCTCTTTACTCCCACTGCTCCAACCACATTGGCCTCATCCTGCTTAAACTTGCAGGCTGACTTTCCTCTAAGGACCTTTGCATTTACTGTCCCCTTGGTCTGCAATGCTCTTTCTAAAGCTGGCTCCCTCCCTTACCTCCTTCAGGTCACCTTGGTTAGTCCGTCCCAGACCAGATATTTAAAATGTGCATCTGGTCAGTCCATAGGAGGACCATTCTTTAGGGGCTCAGTGGTTCCCAGAAAGTGGTAAGCTCTCCTTGGGGTCTAGATTGGAGTTCTATCTCCCTCAGCTTGGAGTGGGAAGACAGTAGGTAGTTTGGGGGATCAAACCCTAGGCCAAATTCCTTAATGGTCCCAAGCACTGAAAGGACGCACATGAACTGTTTTTTGTTTGTTTGTTTGTTTTTTGTTTTTTGTTTTTTTGGAGTCTTGAGTGTTTGGGAGTCTTCAGGAGGGACACGGTAGGTAAGCTCGAAAGTTAGTGATTGGGTTTGATTCCTTTGCAAGTACCAGCACAGGCAGGCACACAGTAGGCCCTGTAGGGACTGAGATGATTCCTTTGAAAGTCCCATCACACAGTGACCACACAAGTAGGTCCCCTAAGGGTCTGGGTGTGTCTTCGGATCACACGGGGTGGGGTGGGGTGTGTGGTGTGTGTGTGATGTGAGTATGGTGGTGCACATTTAGGGTCCCTAGCGGGTTTTAGTCAGTATCCATGGGAAGAATGCAGGCAGCACTCACGACAAGTTTGATAGGATAGTTTTATTGGATCGTTTCTCCCGGTCCAACCCGGGCGCAGTCCGGATAGGCCAGGCCGGGCACGCGGCCCCCGAAACGGTACGTGTACTTGCGCCCACCGCTCTTGCGCACGATGTCCCGGCGGTAGTAGTAGCGTAGACCTCGGCTCAATTTCTCGTAGTTCATGCCCGGTTTCCTTTTGCGCTCACCCCACAGCCGCGCCACCTAGGACAGAGGCCGGGCTTAGTCTGAAAGGGCAGGAGGGAGTCGGGCTCGGCAACGGACGGGAGGGGCGGGGGGCGCGGTTTCGGGTAGGTTCTGGATGCGAGTTAGTCGCGGTAACTCCCGGCAGGGGGAGAGGAGTACGAGCTGGGGGCGAGGCCAACTACTAGGCAAACAGAATGGCGAGGCCAAATTGAACGGGCGGAGACCCGGGCGGGACTTTGCGCGTCTGGGAGGCTACCCCACCTCTCTGGGGTCACATAGCTGGAACTCGCGGCTGTTGCCAGTCCAGCGGATGCAGTTGCTACGCTCGCCGTCTCGGAGCAGCTCCAGGAGGAACTGCCACAGCTGAATGGGACCTGCGGAGGGCAGGCAGGTGAACACTCAGGTTTCCTAGCCCCAGACCATGTCTCTTCAACGACCCAGCGGTCCGGCCTCCCTCGCTTCGAAGGTTCAAGGGTCCAGATCTTCCCAACTTGGGACCCAGAAGTCCAGATCCCCTCCATATAAGGAACCCAAGAATCGGCCTCAGGGACCCACGCAGCCGGGGTCCCCATCTCGGAAACTTAGAGGAGACTGGCTGCCACACCTTGGTGACCCAGGCGTCCAGACCCTCACCTCTTTCCTCTCACCTAACCCAGGAATCTAGGTTCTAGTCTCTTGTTCCCTATTAGACTACCGTGTCTTAGTCCTCTCCCCACTCAGGACCCACGGTTTTAAGAGCCTCTCTCCGGCTCTGAGGTAAGTAAGCCCCACACCTTCACTCTCAGGTTCCGGTCCCGCCCCCGCGCGCCTACGTCCCGACTCACTAGATTCCGGTCCTGCGGACCCTCTCACCTCGATGATTATTTTTGGGGTAACAAGCCAAGGTTACGCCGCCCGACTGCTGGCTTGGTTCGGAGGACGTGGTGAAATCTGAAGTCTGGTACCCTTTTGAAGTGGTCGTGCAGTCCGTATGCAGCCCCGAGACCCAGGAGGTGGTACAGTCTGAGCCCGCAGGCCCATCCCACGAAATGGTAGAGTCCGCGCTCGGCTCCCCGCGGAGGTCCTTGCCCCAGTAGGTATGGCGGTCGAGGCCAATAGAACAGTCCCAGTTGGTGGAGCTGGCGGCGGCCTGGGCGCCGGGCCACGAGCTGGTCCCTCCCCCGGAGGTGGTACAGTTCTGGCCCGCAGCCCCCTCCACACCAGCGAAGGGGGCGGGGCTCAGGCCGGGAGGGGCGGGGCCCAGGGCCTGGGAGACGCCCCTCCAAGGGTCCGAGCTACTGCAAGCCAAGTCTGTCCAGTTTCCCGACCACGGAAGAGCCTGAGGGGCGGACTCTGTGAGAAGTAAAAGACCCCATGTGAGGGGTGCCCAGGTGTTCCGGTTCCCGGTCCCCTCAGGGGTTCTTGGAGTCTAAGCTCTCAGCCCTGGCGCCCTGGGCTCCCGGATCTAGGCTATGCCATCTCGAGGGCAGAGGGATTCCCGTCTTAGCCCTGTTCCCCTTAAAGATCAAGGAGTTTAAACCTCTAGCTACGGTGGAGGACCCCAGTCCCCTCCTTACCCCGCCTCTGCACGCATACTCACCCGCTCCCCATGGAGCTTCTGGGTGCGGTAACGCGGAGCCCCAGTCCGGCTGTGGGAGCCCTGCTATGGGTAATGAAGGGACAGAGTTTAGGGAAGGGTGTGAGCAATGACTAGAGACGCCCCCTCGACCCCAGCAGTCTTTATTTGTCAGGGGCTGAGTTATTCCCCCTAGTCCCTACACACTCAAACCTAGAAGGCCTCGTCCTCTTTCAGCCTCAGGACTCAGCCGCCAGCCCTCTCCCCATTCAGCCTCAGGAGTCCAGGCACGCCCCCTTCCTCCCTCCGGCCCTGGAGCCCCTCCTCTCACCTTCCTCAGCTCCCTGGAGTCCCGGCCTACAGCCACCTTTCCAGCGTGCCTCCGCTGTCAGCGTGTCCCCTGGGAGCGCCAGTTCGGGGAAATAAAAGCCGAGTTCAGCTCCTTCTGCAGGCAATGAGGCGGTTAGGGCCAGGTCGGGGTCAGCGGAGGCCCCCCACCTGTGCACCCTTCCCATACAGGGACTCAGCCCCCCAGCCTACCCAGCCCTGACAGTCTATTTCCTGGGGGCACTTCCTGTGCAGGAGCTTCAGACCAGTTCCAGAGGTCCATGGATGCTCCTTGTGAATGTTCTGGGCAGAGAGGAAAAAGGGGGCAAGGGTTGAGCTGGGGACACTTAGGGACCCTGGAGTCTGGGCCCCAACCCTTGCTTCCCTCAGACCCAGGAGTCCAGGCCTTTTGCTCCCTTCTTCCCCCGGACCCTGGAATCTTGGCCTCCGTGTCTTTTTCAGACTAGGAGTAAGAGACCTCAGCCCTCTCCTTCCTCTGACCCAGGAGTCCGGGCCCCCAGACCTCCAGTCCCCAGTTCTTGGCTCACCTCTGGCGGGTTTCTCTGTCCCCGGCCAGGGGTCTCAGCCCCATTTCATACCATGTACCCCCTCCCCTGGGGAGCCTGGGCAGGGGGGAATTTTCCGAGACGTCAGAGCCGGGGGTCGCAGTCGGGTCGAGTTGCAGGGCCAGGGGCGGGGCCAAGCCCCCTACCCCCCGCCCCGCACACACCTCAGGGGTGGCCGCCTGCCTCCTGATAGCTACAGCTGTCGGGCCGCAGGGGTGGCTTAGACTTGGACAGGAGTTTGGGGAACGGCAGGCTGGGAGAGACCCGGGGTCCGGAGCCGTGTTTACGGGGTGATGGGGATCTAGCGTGGCGGGGGGGAGGGGTTGGTGGACAGGTTTTCCGTCTTGGGGACTTGATCCTGCGACATGGGGGGGGGGGGGGGGGGGGGTCGGGGGTCAGCGGGGCTGCGCCAGGCTTATCTGCAACAGGAAGGGGGATTTCCGGCCAGATCCCAGGTCCGCCAACGTCACAATCTGTAGGGGGACTGCGGGGCGGGGTGGGGCAATATAGTTGGGGGAAGCCAACGCAGGATCCCCTTTGAGGGCTTTGAGGATGTTCTGGTGCTGCTCTTGAGGAGTGTCAATCGTGATGACACAACAGTGTAAACAATAACCAGAGTAATTATAATAGCTAATATTTATTGAGGGCTCGTTGCCCTCCCCCAACTATGCCATGGGCCTTCATTTAATCCTCTTATGAGGTAAGTACTAGTCTTTATTTTATGAAAGGGGAAATTGAAGCAGACTTCCTTTTCACTTCCCTTCATCTCCAGAATCCTATACTGTAATAGTCTGGGACAAATGGGGGAAACTTGAGAATGCACTGAATATGTGATATAGAATTATTCATTTTCCTAGATGTGATTATGGTATTACAGTAGGAAAGATGTCTCATAAGGAAATGAACACGGATATTTAGGGGTAAAGTATTACTTGCTTCAAATGATTCAGACAACCCCCCCCATATACATGTAACATATACATACATTCATGCAATAGTTGGAACATAATTATTCTAAAAAATTATCTGAAACTTCAAATTTAACTAGGTGTCCTGTATTTTTTTAAAAAGATTTATTTATTTGAGAGAGAAAGAGAGAGAATGCAGGCAGGGGGAGGGACAGAGGAAGAGGGAGAGAGAGCAGCAGAATCCCCGCTGAGCACAGAGCCCAAGGAGGAGGGGATAGGGCTCAGTATTAAAACCCTGACACCATGAAGGGAGCCGAAATAAAGAGAAGGGAGCCGAAAACAAGCTGCTCAACTAACTGACTCACCCAGACATCCCTGCCCTGTATTTTTATTTCCTACATCTGGTAACCCTAAACCCAGGCAGCTTGGCTTCAGAGCTGTGGTTGTACCGATTCTGCTGTATGTATTAAGTACTTGCCATTAAAAAGAACCTCTTAGATATGGGCATTTTCCAGTATTCACCCTGCTTGGCCATTAACTATTTGGCATTCTGGGGGTGAGAGGATGGCGGTGTGGGTACTGCTCTTCTGTTCATGTTACATTAGGGAAACTGGGCCTTAGGAGGGAGGGCCACTTAATGGGTCACAGAGTGAGCCAGTGGGAGGTGCCAGGATCAGCATCGGGGGATCCGAGAGCCCCCAGGCATCACTGCTCCACCATCTATCTAACCCAGGGGACTGCAGCATTTCCTACTGAGCCCCACGGGCCCCAGGCCTCCTCTCCCTGAAGTCGGCCTTTCTCCTGTGTGTGTGTGTGTGTGTGTGTGTGTGTGTGTGTCTGTCCATGGCTCTCTGCCCTAGTTAGTGTCTTTGGCTCTGGGTCTCTGTTGTACCAGGCCTGACCCCAGTGAGGCCTTGCCGCCCAGTCTTTCCTGCTAAGTTTCAGTCCCTCCCCATCTGTCTCCCTACCTCCTTATCTCTCAGTCCCCATTGTTGTCTCTGGGTTTTCTTCCCATGCCCCTTCCCTTTGTACTGCCTTCACTTGCAGGTCTCATCTCTCCAGTTTTGTCTCCCTCCCCATCTCTCCATCTCTGCTTGCTACATGCCTTCATCTCTGTCCATCTGTCTCTCAACCCAACGGTTGAGTTTTTTCTCCCTTTCCTCAGGACTTAAATGCACACATTTAAAAGCTTCCTTTCAGAGACAAACCATAAGAGATTTTTAATCATAGGAAACAAACTGAAGGGTTGCTTGAGGGGAGGGGGGTGGGGGGATGGGGGTCACTGAGTAATGAACATTAGGGAGGGCATGTGATGTCATGAGCACTGGGTATTATATAGGACTGATGAATCACTGACCTCTACCTCTGAAACCAATAATACATTATATGTTAATTGAATTTGAAAAAAAGCTTCCTTTCTGCAGTCATTCCCTCTTCCCATCTCCTCTCTGGTTCCTGTGACTGAAGTGATCAGAGGGGGTCAGGAGTGGGAAGGGCTAGTGATGTGGGGGTAGGGGCCAGTCCTGGGGCTGGGTTGTCTAGCCCAGGTGGCAGGGGGCTGAAGGGCACTTCCTGTGAGGGAGGGAGGGAGGCCTTCACCCTTCTAACCAGACTGGAAAATGTGACGTCAGAGAGGGAGCAATAAGGGAGGAAGGCAGGAACAGAGGTAATTTGACACCTCTCCTGGGCTACCAGCTTCCCAGGGAGGTCTTGGCATTGTTTCCTTCCTCCTCCCATGCCCCCTCCTCCCATGCCCCCTCGGACACTTCTTCACATAGGCAGTGTCAAGCTTGGGGCTGGGAAAAGAGAGGTGGGAGAGATCCATAGATGCAGAGAGAGAACAAAGACTCAGAGACAGACACTTAGAGACAAAAACAAACAAACAAACAAACAAAAAAACAAACAAAACCAACCAGAGGGGCACTCACAGAGACACTCACAGGGAAAAACAGACATAGAGAAGAACTTGAGGGGGTCCACACAGACATAAGGCAAGAGAAGGTGGCTGGGGTTTGGCAGAATGAAGAAACTGGAAAACAGTCTCAGGGATACAGATGGCTCTTCTCCCCGTTCAAGTCAAGTCCAAGCTTGACACTGCCTATCTGAAGAAGTGTCCGAGCAGGATCTTGAACACTAGACTAAGAGCTTGCACTTTACCCTGAAGGCAGCAGCGAGCCCTGAGAAGCCGGAACCAAGTTCAAACGGGACTGGCATCAGATTTGCACTTTAGAAAGAACCCTGACAGGGCCATGCTGTGGACTGGAGGTCTGAAGGAGGCAGGGGCAGGGACCAGAAGGTGAGAACTTCAGAGACTGGGCGAGAATGATAGGAAGAGCATGAGACAGACTCAGAAGTGGCCAGTTCCTTCAGGAAGCCCTCCCCGACTCCCACGTCCGCACCCTGGGCTCCATCACCCCAACCCTAACCACTCCATGTCGCAATGGGCCTATCTGCTGCCACTGGACCAAGCTCTGAGGGAAGAGTCCAGGATGGTTTCAGTCACCATGTCCCCAGCACTGGCTAGGCCTTCTGTGAGTTTGCTGAATGGATGAAAGCCTGGAAGGCTGTGACCTCCAGAAGGGCAGGGCCCAGAAGACCCCCTACCTTGGTACTGAGAACACAGGCTGGAGTCGGAAGACAACTGGACTGAGTCTCGGCTTGGTTGTGGCCTCACTCTAATAAGCCTTTGCTTTCTCCTCTGTCAAATGGGCTGTGCTCAAAATGCACTTAAAAGAGGGTTCAGGAAGATGTGACGGGAGCACAGTAGGGACAGAAAGATGTCCATCTGCATGTTTGTCTAGGTAAACTTTCAAAGCTCCCTACTAATCACTATTCCCAGATTGGGGGATGCCAAGCCCTGCTCCCCAAAGAGTGCTTGCAAGCCCAGCCAGGGACGGAAATAATGTAAATTTATTGAAACTGGTTTTGGGGAGGGTGGGTGGGTGGCTAGTTGGGGGTCTTCCAAAGAGAACGGGGAGAAGAGCCAGCGCCCGGCCAGGAGGGAGCGGGTGCCTGGCCACCGACCCTATCTCAGGCCCAGCTTCTTCTTCTCCTTCTGCTTCTTACGCACCACATCCAGGTTCCGGTCCTTCCACATACTCTTGCGGAGCTTGATGGGGCGTGAGCCCACATACTTCCCTGTGGGAATGGAGGGTTCAAGGTCAGGTTCGGGGTCAGGCTTAGGCCAGATGCTCATCACACCCATGGTCCCTGAGAGAGGCCTCACCCACCATTCATCTCACGCATGGCGCGCACGTAGTCGCTGGGGTCCTTAAAGCTGACGAAGCCATAGCCCTTGGTCTTGCCTGTGCGCTTGTCTCGGATCACCTTAGCCTTAAGGAAGGATGGGAAGCGGCTGAAGGCGCGTGCTAAGATGTCATCATTCACTTCATTGCCCAAATCCCCACAGAAGATCCGGAAGTCATCTGGGGTTGGGAAAGAGGAGGTCAGAAGATGCAGATGCCCGGTCCTGTGTCCGCCTTACTTAAATAACTCTCCTTCTCTGGAGGCATCCCCCAACATCCCCCCCCCCCACCGCCTCTGTATTTCCAGCAGTCTTGGCCTGGGGCCCTCTCTGTAATAACAGCCAAAATCTGTATGGTATTTACCCTGCACTAGACTGTCTGCTAAGTACTCATGAGGTTTTAAGACACCTGGAACTCCCAATGGGCCCTTTTATACCGAGGCACAGAGCAGTCATGTTACCTGCCCAAAATTACTCAACCAGGTAGTCACAGAGCTAGGACAAGACCTCAGGCACCTGGCTCCAGAGTCCTCACTTTTAACTACCTGCACTGCCCTTCCCCACCCCAGGGCCATCTCACCCATTGCCATGATGAAGGCTCCAACTCTGTCCTACCCCTGGCCTCTCCTCGGAGCTCCTGGCACCCCTTGGTCTCCTGGACATCTCACCATGGATATCCCCTAGGCTCCTTACACTCTCTGGCTTTCTTTGCAAAGCCCACTCTAATTCTCCGAAACATGAACACACTGTCTGACCCTTCTCCAAGGCCGACCTCAGCTGCCATTCCTGAGCATCTCCCCTGGGCTGGGCATGAGCCAGACTGAATATACTCGAGCCCAAAGCATCCCTTCCCCAACAAGGCACATACTATTATTATCCCCTTGTTAGAGTGAGGAAAGAAGGATAGAAAGGCTAAGTGGTTTGCCCAGATCACAGAATTAGGGTCCATAGCATGCCCTGACCACCTCTAGGCTGACACTGCCAT